GAAATACCTCAGAGACTCTTTCAACCTCTTAATTGACTTTTATGTTCTGGAAACTTGGGGCAGGGCAAATGGTGCTGGCTGTTGACTGGAAGCATCAGTTCCGCTCAAAGGAAGCCTCTCCAAAGCATCCTTGAGTGTCCTTGGCACACAGTGACTGGCTTCCCTCAGAGAAAATGATCCAAGAAACAGTGGTACAGATATCTGTTATGACCTAGCCACCAAAGCCATGCACTGTCATTTCCTCAATAATTGATAGGCGCACTGACCAATTTAATGTGAGCCTCCAAGCCAAAAGCAAGGGTCACTGAGGACCATCATGTAGACTGTCTGCCACAATGTAGTTGGCACCTGGTTGTTATTTACAGAACGAGAAATTAACATGTTCCTCCACCATCCTTATATCTACTACCCAAAAGAAACCCTGGGATAAGCCACTTATGCACCACTCTAGGTGCAATATCTAAATGTATATCATTCAGATTATAGGTCTCAGTCTATTTGATCTACCACCCACTTTTCAGAAAAAAAAAACAACAAAAAACCAAAAAAACCAACCTCAACGCACTCCTGGCAATTAGAAACTTTGGTGCTGCCATCCATAGCTAGGATAAACTTGTAGGCATTTGCTTTTGGATCGCTCCAGCACCCCCTAGTGGGCGTTATTGCCCACTTTGAGAAACACTGATCCAAATAATTACAAATAAGACTTTACTATGTAAATAGATACGTGCATTTATTTATGTATATACAGGCGTACCTCCTTGTATGGTGCTATCCTTTATTGTGCTTCACAGATGCTGCCTTTGCTGCAAGTTGAAGGTGTATGGCAGCCTGTGTTGAGTAAGCCTGTCAGCACAATTTTTCTCCACAGCTTGTGCTCGCTTCACGTCTGTGTCACATCCTATCATTCTCACCACATTTCAAAACTTCTTCATAGTCCTATTTCACACTTAATTGGCTACAGTGTAGTGTACACATAACTTTCCTATGCATTGTTAAACCAGAAAAACGATGTGACTCCTTTTATTGTGACATTTGTTTTATTGCCATATTCGCTTTATTGTGAACCCACAGTAACTCTGAGATATGCCTCTGGGGGTGTGTGTGTGTGTGTGTTATATAAAGGTTTATGATCCTGATCCACCCAGAGGCTCTGCAGAATAAAGGCGTGGCAAACTGCTTCCATAAAGACTAACCCAGGAAGACCTTATGGGGCAGTTCCACTTGGTAATAACACATGGTTGGCCACGAGGCAGGTTCAACATGATGGCAGTTAGCAACAACAACATTTAATATATGTTGATCTTATAGAGACCTGTATCAATGTGCACCGTGTCTTATTTTTCAATTGTTTAATAAAATCACACTGTATGTGTCTTTCCTAATAAGATCCCATTGCTGGGTATTTGGTTTTTATTTATGTTTTTAAAAAGTATTACAAGCAATGCTACTATCAATATCCAGATAGAAACTTTCTTTTCCTACTTGTTTAAGTGGAAAGTATATGCCGTAGACAAATTCCTAAAGAGGCATGCACTCTCTTTTTATGAAGAGATGCCAAACTGCTCTTCAAAAAAATTAATTCCACTAATAATATATAAAAATGTCTTTTTCTCCACACCCAGAGCTACATGGTAATTATCAGGCTTTGACGTCTTTGACATTGTGATAAATGAAAAATGCAATCATGTAGTTTTAATTGGCTTGTCTCTAATTCTCTGTGGAGTTCATAATGTACTTATTGGATATTCTTGTCTGTGAGCTGTGTAGTTATCCATCTAGCCATTATTCCTTTGGATTATTCACCTCTTTCTTGTCAATCAGTAAGAGTTCATTATATTTGGGAGAATTTTGCCGTTTATCTCTCATACATCTTGCAGATATTTCCTCCAGATTTGGCCTTCTTATCTTGGTGTTGTTTACTGTGTTTCTTGCTAGATGGTCACTGTATCTTAACATTAGAAAGTAATGAAAAATATAATATTGTTGGCTTTGCCAAACCTGGCTTCAATTATTTTCCTGATGGCTTTAAGACATGCATTTTAAATTGTGTTTAAGCTGTTGATTTAATCTTTAGAAGGTACGGATCAGCAGTATTTCATTTTAGTGCTGCTAACCGCAAAGTCAGCAGTTTGAAACTACCAGTGTCTCTGTGGGAGAAACATGGAGCTTTCTGCTCCTGTAGAGTTACAGTCTTGGAAGTCCACACTGGGCAGTTCTACTCTGTCCTACAGGGTTCCTGGCTGAGGATCAGAATTGACGTGGTGGCAGTGAATGAGAATTTATAAAATAAGTGAAAATTTCTTCTTATTCTGACTTTTAAAGGATGAATCATTAAGGTTTACGAGGGGGTACCCCCCCAAAATCATATTTATTTGGTTCAAAGCTATGTATTATTTTTTTTTACAAAACAACGTCATCACCTTCAAAGTACTCTGCAATACACTTAATACATTTGTCAAATTTGAGATTCCGTTCTTGGAAACATTTTCCAAACTCATTTGTTTGGATGGCTGACAGCGCTTCCCTCGTTTTTTCTTCACCTCTTCTATGCTGTCAAGTCATTGCCCTTTCGTGTCCTTCTTCATCCCTCTTCATTCGCAGGAACAAAAAGAAGTCTCACGAGTGAGGTCAGGTGAGTCAGGTGCTTAGGGCAGAGAGACATGCTGTTTTTTGCCAAAAACTGGTGCACTGAGATGGCTATGTGAGCAGGTGCAATTTCATGGTGGCAAAAGCAGTCCTCCGTCTGCCACAAATCAGGCCTTTTTTGTCACACAAAGAAGAACCTTTAAATAGAAAGCTTGATTAACCGTCTGACCTGGTGGCAAAAACTACAAATGCACTATCCTTGTCACATTTAAAGAAAAAAAAGAACATCCGTTTTTTGGGGGGTACCCCTCGTATTTTTGCATACCTCATACTCTTGAGATAAACCCTTTTTCTATTTTCAGTGTTCTACCCAAGAGTTCTTCTTGATCGCCAGGACTCTGTATCACTTGCTGTTGGAACTTCAAGCATTAATACCTGCTGCGAGTTCCCACATTCAATCCGACTTGCTCCAGGCATGTATTTTAGAGATCCCGGGACTCCTCACGCCAGTGGAGCATTATGTAAAGATACTAAATGAACATGCTGCCAAGTAAGTAGCAGGTCTGTAGTAAGTGCCATTGCGTATGCTTGCTGTGTAGCTTTTTAGTCTTCTGTCAAAGTAACGGTAGACGTTCCACGTGCCTACATGAACTTGGAAACGTGATTGGGTGCTAAACATCTCAGCAGTCTCTATTACAGCTGGAAGCAACACTTAGTTGTCTAACATTTGGGCAGTTCACCATCTAGGACAGATGTACTGCCTCCACAGACATCACAGGTGACAAGATAAATCCTAAGCAAAACCAAGTAGTAGCAGTTTCTTAATGCAAACACAGTGCCAAGTGACATCTCGTCCTTATTTACTAACTCTGGAGACAGCTGCCTTGTGTTTACTATCTTCTGAAACAGAGTTACCTCACATGTCAGCCCACAGACACCCTTACGCTTAGGAAAAATGTTTTTACAGTAGTGATATTTGTTTGTTGTCTGAGCTTGCAAACAACAAGTATATAACTAGTCCTCCTGGTTTCACTATAGGAATCGTGATCTTGCAAAAGAGATATTCTCTAGGCCAGCGGTTCTCATCCCTTGGGTCGTGACCCCTTTTGGGGTCGAACGACCCTTTCACAGGGGTCGCCCGATTCATAACAGTAACAAAATTACAGTTATGAAGTAGCAACGAAAATAACTTTATGGTTGGGGGGGGTCACCACAACCTGAGGGTCGCAGCATGATGAAGCTTGAGAACCACTGCTCTCGACCCTCCGAATTCACTGCCCTCGTGTCGGTTCTGACCAGAGCGACCCTGCAGGGTGGCATAGAGCTGCCCCTGTGGGTTTCTGAGACGGTAATTGTTTATGGGAGTGCAAGGCTTCATCGTTCTCCCATGGAGCAGCTGGTGGATTTGAACTGCTGACCTTGCAATTAACAGCCCAACTTGTAACCAACTGTGCCACGAGCACCTCTTGAAAGTGATATTGGGTAGTCAGTTTATCGTCCTCACAGAAAATCGGGGAGTTGGCCATCAGCAGTGGAAGAGCCAGAACCAGAACCTCATTTTCCTGACCGAAAGCTCTTTTATCGTGCAGTAAATACTAATAATTGGTCCCCTGCCTAATCTATATCCTTTAATATATGGAATTGCTTGTGCTTTCATTTTTTAGAGTTGGGGATAAAACTGAATTGTTCAAAGACCTTTCTGATTTTCCCTTAATAAAAAAGAGGAAGGAGGAAATTCAAGAAATTACCAACAAGATCCAAATACATTTGCAAGAAATACGAAGAGTACTGAAAGATCCTTCTGCACAGTATGTGACCGTGTCCGGACAGGAGGTAATGCTGGAGGAGTTTTTACCTTGCCAACGATGTTGTTTTTATTAGGTGCCATCGAGCTGGCTCTGACACACAGCACAACCCTGTGCACAGCAGAACAAAACACTGCCTGGGGCTGCGCCAGCCTCACAGTTGTTGCTGTGCTTGATCCTGTGCTGCAGCCACTGCGTCAGTCCATGTCTTTGAGGGCCTTCCTTTTTTCTCTGTTCCTATCTTTTCCAGCCATGATATGTTTCTCCAGGAACTGGTCTCTTCTACAAAACTAGTTTCATTTGTAACATGTTCTGTTTCAGCCCTTAGAAATGTGTTATATAATACCTTGGTTTGATAAGAATTATTTAGTAACAGTATATGTGTGTGTGTGTGTGTGTGTGTGTGTGTGTGTGTGTGTGTGTATAATTTAATTGAGCACTCACATTGCTTATTGCAATCCATACATCAGTTGTATCAGGCATATTTGTACATATGTTGCTATCTTTCTTTTCTAGATAGTTACTTTCTATTGAGACCTTGGGATCAGCTCCTCCCCGCCCCTGTTCTCCTCTATGCTCATGACCCCTTGATATACTATAAATTATTATTACTTCCATGTCTCACACTGACCACTGTCTCCCCTCCCCCCATGGTTTCCATTGTTCTTTCCCCTGGAAGGGTGTGTGTGGTTGTGTGGCGATCAGTTTCCCCCTTCTTCCTCGCCTCCCCACTCTTCACCCTTCCCATCTGGTATCTCTCTTCCCATTCCTGCTCCTGGTTTGCGTGTGTCCTGGGCTCTTATCTCTTACCTATAGCTGTGTACATGCTCCAGTCTAGTCTGAAGTGAGAGGCATCACTGGGGTCATGGTAGTGGGGTGGGTGGGTGAGGAAGCCTCAAGGAACCAGAGGAATATTGTGTGTTTCATTGGTGCTTTACTGCACCCTGGTTGACTCATCCCTTCCCTGTGACCCCTCTGTGGGGGATGTTCCATTGTCTAAAGATGGGCTTTGGGTCTCTGCTCTGATCCCCCTCGTTCTTAACCATATGGTTTTCTTTGTTTGATTGTTAAGGATCTTCTGATGGCTGTTACCTGGTCCCGATGATACCTCATGCACACACAGGCTGTTGTGCTTCTTCCATGTGGGCTTTTTGTTTCTCTGCTGGATGGCCGCTTGTATCACTTCAAGCTTTTAAGACCCCAGACACTATATCTTTTAATAGCTGGGCACCATCTGCCTTCTTCACCACATTTGCTTATGCACCCATTTTGTCTTCAGTGATTGTGTTGGGAGGGTGAGCATCTCAGATTGCCAATTTGTTAGAATAACATGTTCTTGTATTGAGGGAGGTTATGAGCTGAGGCCCAAAGTCTGTCTACTACCTCAGTGTATTGCCATATAAATATATGTACATGGGCCAATACTTCTATTTTTATGGATTAATACAGTGTATATTTTATAATTTTCTTTAGAGTCTTGGTAAAATTGTGCAACTTGATATTGTGTCTGTTTTAGTGTTATCTGAAATTGCATTACAGAAAATCTTAACTGTTGTGAATAATAGGTTATGGAATTCATTTACCCTAAATTCATGGGGAAAAAGTTAAGTTTTCAACCAAAAGGAGCCCTGGTGGCATAGTGGGCTATGCTCTAGCCTGATAACCACAAAGTCCTCAGTTCATATTCAACATGGGAGAAAGATGAGACTTTGTGTTCCTGTAAGGATTTGCAGCCTCGGAAATCCATAGACAGCCCTACTCTGCCCTAGAGGCTCTCTCTGAATCAAAATTGACTGATGGTACTAAGTTAAAATATGGGTCTTGCAGCCATTTAGAATTGAATCTACCCACGGCAATCAGGGAGCCTTGATGGTGTAGTGGTTAGGTTGCATAATGGTTATTCTTTGGGCTGTGCTCTGTGAGGTCGGCAGTTCGAAATCACCAGTGGTTCCTCGGGAGAAAGATGTGATTTTCTACTCCTGGAAGCAGTTATAGTCTCAAAAACTCATGGGGGCAGTTCTGTCCTGTACTGTGTGATCACTTTGAGTCAGTACTGCCTCTTTTGGCAGTGAGTTTTAGGTTTTCGGGGTTTTTTGTACTGCCATAAAGTTGATTCCAACTCATAACGACCTTTAGGGCACAGGAGAACTGCGCCAGAGGATTTCCAAGGTTTGAATCTTTACGGTAGCAGACAGCCTTATCTGTTCCCCGCAGAGCAGCTAGTAGGTTTGAACTGCCAACCTGAGGTTAGCAGCTGAGCACCTAAACCAGGGGCCACCAAGGCTGCACAAGGCCTCTTCTAGGCCTCTTGCTACCAGCTTTGTAGCAAACCCTCTTACAACTCATTTTAAAAGTGACTTAACTGTGAAAGTTTGTGATATGTGAATTTTGTATCAATTGAAGTATTAAAGAAAAAAAGTTATAACTCTGAGGACAAAGGAAATGTCTGAGGGTTTAGGGGGCAAAATCTTTTCTGAATAATGAAAGTGAAGACCACTTGAGGAACGGCCTTCACACAGTGATTCCTTTTGAAGTCCTGTGTCAACCAATTGCTCTCCAGGTGATGCAGCTGGGTGGTGAGACCTATTCCCCAACTCCCCGTCCATCGTGTGTGTCCACAGAGTACAAAGTGCCACAGAGTGCATGGCCGAGGTTTGGACCAAGATTGCCAGGCCTGCTTCTGAGGGACCCCGCGGGGCCAGGTAGTCTCACCCCCCCACAACGTTTGGCCCCCAGCCCAGTGTGTTAACTGTTTGCACCACGTAGGAACCCCTGAAAGTCAGGTGTTCAATGCAAAACAAAGCAGAAAAACCATTGTGAAAACCTGCAGTTAATAAATATGCCCTAAACTTATGATGCTGGATAGAATATGTTTTTGGAAATGTGTCCTTTTGTTTAATTGGATATTCATAGCTAAATGATAATGAGAGAATAGAGAAATGTGCTTTCTATATGGAGCTTCTGTGGATGGCACCTTTTGGTTTTCTGTGGAGTCTTTTGGCATGCTACCTCCATGCTGCATGTTATTTTAAAATATGTAGATCAAAACTGAAGGGATGTGAGAATTTCTGCTTTATTAAAATAGTAAGTTAGGGCCCTTGTGAATAATAGTTTTTACAGGATGAACTTTTTATTCCCCTTTTAAAAATATAGCGACTTTTTGTTTTATTAGCAGAAGAAAGCTTAATTTCAAGTTAGAATTTTAATATGAGCATCAACGTTTTGTACTTACCCAGAAGATTGTTATATGATTATGTGAGATAAACTCTATAGTAAATTACAATCTTTATGAACCTGTGCTACTGAATACATTTAATTATTATGTTAGCCTGCTCTGAGGTCTAAACTTATTAAGATGGCATATGTAGCCAGCTTTCAGAGTTATGTCTACTTTCTGAACAGGCAAGCATCGAATATTTAATGTGTCACTTAGCTTCATCGTGGAGTTGTGAGTGTGCAAGGCACAAAGTAATGGTGTGGTCACGTCTCTGGCTATCTTTTGGTCTTCAGAAGTGTTCTCGTAGTACTAATAGACTTGTGTTAGCAAAGTTGCCGTTTGGTATTACAGTGGGAAATGCCAAGTGGAAGTGCCGATTCTGCACTTGGGTGCTGAGTGGTCCTCGGGGTGTTGCTTGGAGACAAATTGAGTTAGCATATGTGGAAGTGATTCAGGGAGCGCTGTGCAAATATTATTTATATTGTAATAATAACCTTATCTCAGTAGTTTAAAGCACAAACTGTATTAGGCTGCCCATGTATTATCTCATTTAATCTTTGTAACAGTACAACAAGGCAATTGGTACAGCGTCTAAGCAAAGGAAATCCAAGGTTGGCGTCGTTAGGTCAATTGCTGAGTCAGAAGCCATTCCAGCGCAGTTCCGCCAGACTCCAGATAGACAGTCTCTTTACCGCAGCACTATTTCATTTCTCTCCCACCAAGTAGTATCAGAGATTTTCAGGCTTGTGAATTTTATTTGATAAAAATCAAGATAGTTTAAATCTGTGCTATTCAAACTCAGATGAAAGCTCATTGTTATTGCTGCTGCTGTGAGGTACCACGGAGCTGTTTCGACTCCCGGTGACCTGTGTACAACGTAACAAACCCTGCCCTGTCGTGCGCCACCCTCACAACTGTGCTTATGTTTGAGCCTGGTGTCATAGCCAGAGTGTCAGCCCAGCCTGTTGAAGACAGCCCTCTTTTTCACTGCCCTTTTACTTTACCGGGAGTGGTCTCTCCTGATTGCATGGCCTACGTACATGAGAAAAGTCTCACCATCCTCACTTTAAGGAGCATTTTGGCTGTACTTCTTTCAAGACAAATTGGATTGTATTTCTGGAATCCCATGGTACTTTCAGTATTGCTCACCAGCACCATAATTAAAATGTACCAATCCCTTTTTAGTCTCCTTGACTCATTTTCCAACATCCATAATCATATGAGGCAATTGAAAATACTGGGATTCGGGTAAGGCCTCAAAGTGACGTATTTGCTCAAATCTTATGAATATTAGCAATTTTCACATAAAAAAGTAGAAAATTACCTTGGATTCATAAGGAATAGTAAATTGGTTACTTATTGTCACTGTTATATTGATTTTTAATAGAAAGCAGAGCACAGGGATTGAATAATTGGATTATAGATAATTAGGGAGGATGATAAATCATGTTCTTATTTTTTATGCCTTTACCAGATTAAGAGGAAATGCCCTAAGTAGCATAGTGAGTCACGAGTTGGGCTGCTAACCACAAGGTGGATGGTTCAAACCCACGGGAGAAAGATGAGGCTTTACAGCCTTGGAACCATACATCAGGTTACTGTGAGCCAGAATCAACTTGATGACAGTGGATTTGGGTTTATTGTCTCTGGTTGGTTCTGAAAGTATTTGATTAGAAGAAAATTAATGCAAACAGGAACTTGCTTGGTTTTTACAGAAGCAGTATCTTATGTAAAAACCAAACACGTTCCACTTCTGTGACAATTTCTACCTATTTTATGAATTTAAAGACAGCTTTTCACCTTGAATCAATTGTGGAATGGATGAGTAGACTTTCTATTTGGTGCAGTATTCATATAGCTTATTCTTAGGAATAAAAGCAAAGAAGTAGTTTGGGGAAGTTCTTTAGAAAAATTAAAATGTATGAATTCACAGCCTGCAGCACAATCAAGTACCTTGTTAGTAGGTTGAAAATGTGGAGAGTGTTCTCTGTTAAATACTCGAAATTAATTACAAGTAGTTGAAAATTCTTGAGCCAGAGAAAGAAAAAGGGGAAGGTGCAGCAATGTGTTAAAGTGGTATGGCAGAAAGCAGTTTCGGAAGTGAGTTATGAATTTCAGCAAGCCCTGCAAGGTTGTCAACCTAGCAGTACCCCAGGCTATAGTCAGAGTAGCAATATCTCTGACATTTCATAAGACAGAGTTGCGTCCCAAGAGAAGACTATGGGAGGTTGGTTACGCTAAGCAAGGCCCACTTCTTGCAGCAATCGCTGTCCGAGACACACAGTCTGGACCTCCAGAACCCAAAGACACCGTTGTGAGGACTTTCTAAGATGTTAACCGTGCAGGCTGACCTCCTGCTTTAGTGTGTTTCCTTTTCATTAGCCATACAATCCTGAAACCAAAGGGTTGCCTGCTCATTCTGAGAATGTGTGGTGGAGAATATTTTTCTTCTATTAAAAACTCACTGTTGTCAAGTCAATATGGACTCAAGGCAACCTTGGAGGACAGAGTACAACTGCTCCGTAGAGTTTCTGAGGCCGTAAATCGTTGTGGCAGCAGCAGCCTCATCTCACTCCTGTGGTATGACCGTGGGTTTGAATCGTCGACCCTTTGGTTAGCAGTTGAGCGCATCGCCACTGCACCACTAAGGAGAAGAAACACTTCTAGTTGACTTCAAGGTAAAGAAGATACAGGGGACCAGTCTCTGCCTGAGGACATAGCTCCAGGTTTTAACAAGGAGTCCTCATTGGCTTCTCTGACACTCTAAGAGCATTTTTGCCCTATGTAGTTTGCACTCAACTATTAACTTAGAGGTGGGCGGTTTGAATCCATTCCCTGGGGCAGTGGCAGAATGATCTGGTGGCCTGCTTTTGTAAAGTTGACAGCCAAAAAAAGCTCTCTGGAACAGTTCTGCTCTCTAGCACACAGGATTGCCAGGCCCCTTGGACTCTGTCACACGACCATGGTGCTGTGTGGCTTCTGCCGTCGCTGCAGCCTCCGCCACATAAGATTGGAATCTTGCACGTGTTCCACTGATGCCTCTTCTTTCTTGAGGGTCTGCGATTCTCTCCCTTCCTGCTTCTGAGATGGATTGCTCTCTTATACACCCAGTGGAAGGACAAAACCACTGCCCCCTGTATTAGTGTGACTCACTATTGCCTCTGTTTGCAAGCTCCTAGCCGGTCATTTGGTGGGAGTTACAAAAACATGGATGAAAGAGCCATTACAGACATTTGACCTCCCCCAGCCCCTTAGACAGTAACTGCCAACTGTGAGTGATTTGTGGGTGTGCATCTGTCCTTCTGAAAGACTGGTGACCCAGTTCTTGATTAGTGTTCAGAATTACTATTCCGGAATTCTGCTGTTTGCCTTTGATGTAGTTCTTCCCAGAATTATTTTATAAAAAGGCAAACAGATTGCTTCATAAAACATTTAAAAATAGTTTTTGGTAGAATTTTGTAAAGCAGAGTTTTTCTTCAGTTTCTCTTTTCTAAGCCCAGAGGGGCTTTTTTGGTCCCCTTTTCCCAATTGACCGTGCCTGGCAGATTTGAAATTCAAGAGGACATCATTGTGAATGTAGGAGGACTTCACTGGTTCTCAAATGTTTTTTAGAATGAAAATGTGTAAAATTAACCATTAATTTCTGTTACAATGAATGTAAAAGCTACAGTGTTTCCGTTAATGGAAACGCAAATGCAGGAACCAGAATGATACTAGTCAAAGCACATATATGTCAGAGTTACTGGAACTGTTATAAAACTAAAACAAGTAAAAACTTTCCAGTAGCCACCTCCAAATTGGTGTCAGCCACAGCCCCTCTGGATTCCATGCCACCCAGGATAAATTTTAAATTGTTGTTGTTGTTGTTATTGTAGACAAAACAAATTGGATTGTGATAATACAAAACGTGGAGCACACTAAGATGATGCAGAACACATGCTTAAATTAAAAATGTGACAGGAAAACTTGACTTCCTGTGTGCCCTGGCTGACCTCAGAAATGTGTGCAGAGCAAAAGGAATCTCTAAGTACAAAGTTCAGATAAGGGGAAGCTGAGAGGAAACATTTTTGATGGAGAGAACTCGCTCCCTCTCTCAACAGTTGAGGGAGCTATTTATGTCTTCTTTCTAAGTCTACATACATGCAGGGACTCTGCCTCTTTGGATAAAAAGAGGAAGAGGGGAGGGACTGAATCTGCAACTGTTAAAACGTAGTTTAGTGGAATCATTTAATATTTTCTGTGTTTGGAGATTTAATCTTTTTTTTAAAATAAATGATCATTTTATTAGGGGCTCATACAACTCATCACAATCTGTACATGTGTCATCTGTGTCCAGCACTTTAGTACATGTTAACTTCATCATTCTTAAGACACCCACTTTCCACTTGAGCCCCTGGTGTCAGCTCATTTTTCCCCCTCCCTCCCCACTCCCCCTGAACCCTGAACCCCCGATAGTTTATAATTTATTATTATTTTATCATATCTTACCCCATCCCATGTGTCCCTCACCAACTTCTCCGCTGTCCATCCCCCAGGGAGGAGACCACATGTAGACCTTGTCCTTTGTTCCACCTTTCTCCCTCTCCTTCCCTCCACCCTCCTGCCATCGCCACTCTCTCCACTGGTCCTGGGGGGTTCATCTGTCCTGGATTCACTGTATTTCCAGTTCCTATCTGTGCCAGTGCACCTCCTCCAGTCCAGCCAGATATGTAAGGTAGAATTTGGATCATGGTAGTGGGGTGGAGGAAGCATTTAAGAATCAGAGGAAAATTGCATATTCCATTGTTACTGCACTGCACTCCGATTTGCTCCTCACCTCCCCGCAGCCCTTCTGCAAGGGGATGTCCAATTTCGCCCGGATGGGCCCTGGGTCCCCACTCTGCACTCCCCCTCATTCACAGTGTTATGCTTTTTTTATTTTTGGTCTTTTTTGGTCTTTGATGCCTGACCCTTTCGCTGTCTTGTCATCTTACAGGCTGGTGTGCTTCTCCTTTGTTGTTTCTCAGTTAGATGGCCCCTTGTTTATCTTCCAGCATGTGGGACCCCAGATTCTGTGTAATTTGACAGCTTGGCACCATTAGCTTTCTTCACCGCATTTGCTTATGTACCCGCTTTGTCTTCAGCATTCGTGTTGGGGTAGGCTGGTGTGCTTCTTCCTTGTGGGTTTTGTTGTTTCTTAGCTAAATGGCCGTATGTTTGTCTTCAAGCCTGTAAGACCCTAGATGCTGTATCATTTGATAGCCGGGAACCATCTGCTTTCTTCCCCACTTTTGCTAATGCAGGGAGACTTAATCTTATTACCCAAGTCTGTGTTGTTGCTGTTAGTTGCTGTCAGAGTTGATTCTAGCTCATGGTGAACCCTGTGTGTGCCAGGGTTTCCGAGGCCATGGTCTTGACAATGCAGATACTTGGGCCTGTGCTCCACCGCCTCTGGGTGGATTCAGACTCCCAACCTTTTGACCAGTACTTGCATCACCCACTAACTCATTATCTGAATAACAGAATCCTTAAATAAGAGCTGTTGTTAAGGAAAAGTCACCAACCATATTATGTTGACAACATTTATTAACATGGAAACTCCAAGTTATATTCCTTATTACAGGTATTTTTTCACATTGCAAATTATATCCCAAGTATTAAAATACTAATTAGTAATATTTGGCTGTTTGTGTGTATATATGTATATACATTGCACCCCCAGAAACGATACTTGATTTATTAAGAATGTTTCAGATTTCAAATATTTATCAAAGTGTGAATAGTTTAGAGAAAACAAGAAAGATAATGAGTCAATGAAATAATTGTTTCTTTGTATTTCTTTTAGTTTATGATTGAAATCAAGAATTCTGCTCTATCGTGTATACCATCTGATTGGGTCAAGGTTGGAAGGTAGGTCTGAAAAGCCTTGTTTCTCCTTATTAATATAAACTGTAATGACATCTCTGTACTGGACTGATAATAGCCACTTTCTTGAAGTTTAAAGCAGTTGATTCCCCGTTTGATTTTTCTTAGAAAATTCTTAGCCAAAGAGATCATATTTTTATCATTGCTTTAAAAACAGTTTTAAAACGTTATTCTATTTTCATGTATTTATTTTCTTGTTTTGTAAATTAGTGTTTTAGTCTTACAGTTCAGTGTAAGCAGGGCGGGGGGTGGGTTGTGGTGGGGAAGCTGGGGAACCTTCATTTATAAGATTAATTTGGTTGCTTGAACTTCTTGATGAATGCTCTGCCTGACATTTCTTTTAAGAAGCTGAAGTTTCATTTTCTACCTCACTGAGCCCCGGATTTCCCTATTCTTAATGCTTCCCATGGCACATCGTTATAATAGTTTGGGGTTTTTTTACATCTTCTATTTTATAAGTTGTATCATGAATTGATGAAACTAAATTAATCAAAAACACAGAATTAGAGAACCACATCGAGACTCTGCCCTTTCTCCTTGGTTAGACATGAATCCCTGAGAGGAGGAGGAGGGCTCCTTGTGGAATATTAATTACCACTGTTTCTCATGAGTCTGAGGTGACAACGATACATTTGCCTAAGATAGACGAGGGACTGGGAAGTAGCTGGTGCGGTGTTCAGGAACTCTATGCTGAGGATGAAGAAATAGCTTGACATGATGTGTGAATAATGATTTTATTATTTTAATTTAAGAAAAAAACTATTATCCCTTGCCGCCAGCAGAAGATTTTGAAGGCATAAGCATGGCTTTTAGTGCTTAAGAAATGAAGTTCATTGTCACTGAGCCAGTTGCAACTCATAGTGACCCTATAGAGCATGATAGGAATGCCCCCGTGGGTTTCCAAGACTGCAATACTTTATGGGTAGTAGAAATCTTCACTTTTTCCCGAGGAGCGACTGGTGGTTTCGAACTGCTGACCTTCTGGTTAGCAACACTACTACACCATGGCTCCTTTTAGTTCTCATGTCTTTCTTTTTCCCTGCCTATGCGTCCAGAGGGGTAGATATTTTAGTTTGGGTAGTGTTGATTTTAGGAGATAATTGTGTTCCCTCTATGCAGGCACTCTTTATTTACACATGTCCTATACTAAAATTGATGAATGGAAATATGTGTTATGAAGAGAAATTGCTAAAAATCATTTTAGTGAACCTAGAACAATAACTGAACTGTCTCACTAAACAGTTTTGCCAGAAGAGAGAGCTATAATAAATATATTTGCATAGAAATCATGATGATGTGGTTTGAAAGCAACAAGAAAGCTACAAATCAGTGCTAGCCTCTTTTCAGCAGTCAGTAATGAAAATTGAGTGAACAGATAAGATGGTTTAGGGAAGGTTCCTTGCGATTCTTTATCTGTTGTTTGGCCATCAGGGCCGTGACAAGCATATATTAGAGTTTCATCAGCCCAATCAGGAATGTGAAAGGCCCACGCCAGTGATTTAGTCACAGCAGTCCAGTGGCGACTTATTAAAGGCAAACAATTGTAAAGGTTAGGGTGCACTCTGTCACCAGTTTATCGCGCAACACTGCCCTCGTCTTTTTTGAGACCTCATGATGACGATGATGCCAGCAGCCATCACGACCACTCCCGCCACCTCCATAACCATTCGGTTCTAAGTACTGCCTGTTTTCTTGATGTACACACTATCACTGTCCCATTTTAAAGATGAGGAAATCTGTGTTTAGAGGACACGTACGTCTATTTGTCCCAGTTCTTTTATTTATTTATTTTTAATCACTTTATCTGGGGCTCTTACAACTCTTATCACAATCTATACATTTATCCATTGTGTCAACCACATTTGTTGCCATCATCATTTTCAAAACATTTTCTTTGTACTTGAGCCCTTCGTATCAGCTCCTCATCCTTTTCCTCATTCCCCCACCCTCCTTCATGAACCCTTGATAATTTCTAATTTTTTTTTCATGTCTTACACTGACAGCTGTCTCCCTTCACCCACTTTTCTGTTGTCTGTCCCCCTGGGAGAGGGTTATATGTCGATCATAGTGATTGGTTTCCCCTTACTCCTCCACCCTTCCCTTACGCTCCTAGTATCGCTACTCTCATTATTGGTCCTGAGGGGTTTATCTGTCCTGGATTCCCTGTGTTTCCAGCTCTTATCTGTACCCGTGTACATGTTCTGGTCTAGCGAGATTTGTAAGGTAGAATTGGGGTCATGATAGTTGTGGGGGAGGGAAGCATTAAAGAACTAGAGGAAAGTTGTGTGTTTCGTCAGTGCTGTACTGCACCCTGACTGGCTCGTCTCTTCCTTGTGTCCTTTCTGACAGGGGATGTCCAATTGACTACCGATGAGCTTTGGGCTTTCACTCTGCACACCCGCTTATTCACATCAATTGATTTTTTTGTTTTGTTTTGGGTCTTTGATACCTGAAACCTGGTCCCATCGACAACTTTTTATCACACAGGCTGGTGTGCTTCCTCCATATGGGCTTTGTTGCTTCTGAGCTAGATGGCCGTTTGCTTATCTTCAAGCCTTTAAGACCCCAGACACCATATCTTTTGATAGCCGGGCACCATCAGCTTTCTTCACCGCATTTGCTTATGCACCCATTTTGTCTTCAGTGATCATGTCAGGGAAGGTGACCATCACAGATTGCCGGGTTAGTAGAACAAAGTGTTCTTGCATTGAGGGAGTATTTGAATGGAGCCCCAGTGTCCATCTGCTGCCTCAATACTTTATAAATAAATAAATATACATAGATCTCTTCCCCTATCATTATATTTAAATGTATTTACATATATACATGCCTGTATTTAGACCTCTATATATGTCTTTTGCCCCCTAGTTCTTTTCTCTGTTTCCTTTTACTTTCCTCTTGTCCCACTAGAGGAATTCTTGTAAATAGTAGTAGTGTGGCAGTAGTGAGAGCTTTGGTCCAGAGTCTCTGCTGGCGGACCCACACATTTCCCTCTGTGCTCAGTGGCTTCTTGATGAAGGTGGTCACAATTATCCTCAAGCTTAGAAGAGGAGCAGGTGGCATCTCTTTGTGCCCAAGTCCACAGTGAAGTTACAGTTAGATTATGAGGGATGGCTCTTCATCTGAATTCTGAGTCTTTCTGTTTTGTAATTGGAATGCTTCATTCATAGAAGAGTATAAAATATAAAGGTTCCCCAGGTATCTGCCTCCCAGCTTTGTCAGAGTTCATTTTTCCATATTTGTTCTGATCTTTCTTTTCTTTTTAAAAAGCATTTTCATTGAGTATAATTTTTAAAAAAAAATAGCTTCCTGCTTATGAAATAAAGATTCTAAACTTGACTTGGCCACGAGGATATGATTTGAAATGCATTTGGAAAGCTTCCTGAACAAAGTCATCTGAACTTAAGTACTTTATTTACCACAGAGATCTTTGGAAGCAGTAGAATTCAGTATCATAATTAGAAAACGTTCTCTATTTACAGATGTTTACTTTCAAGGTTCATCAGAGAATAATAAATAGCTACTTTGGCTTTTTGAGGTGATGCCATTGCCGATTTCCTTATAACCTTGACTTCCTATTTCTGTTTTCTACTCCCTAGCACAAAAGCTGTGAGCCGCTTTCATTCTCCTTTCATCGTAGAAAATTACCGACATCTGAATCAGCTCCGGGAGCATCTAATCCTTGACTGCAATGCTGAGTGGCTAGATTTTCTAGAGTAAGTTGACAGTGAAAAATATAATCTACTTTTTTCCTTTGAAAAACAGACCAGAAAACCTTCCCATCAACAAGAAAAGTACAGATTACTGTTTATGACTGGATATAAGATAGTTGACTGCATGTGCCCTCTGACTCTATTTTTAATTTGGTGAAGTGTAAGCTCACTTTCCTCTTTGATCAGCTTATATCAAGGTAAGCAAAATTCTAAGGTGAAATTTCTGATGGAGCGCTGGTGGTATAGTGGGTTACATGCTGGGCTAACCCACAAGGTCAGCGGTTTGAAACCCCCAGCTGTCCCATGGAAGAAAGATACATCTTTCTAATTCTGTAAAGATTTACAGTCCCATTTAGACTCTGCCCTTTCCAGGTGTACAGCGTCGTTCACAGGCCACACCTGAAGGACCCGATTTGGAAACCCCGCTAAGTAAATTGGACTTTTCGTCACACACTCCTGTAGCAGATAAGAGGGACTGCTTTAGAAGAAAGGCTGAAACGGCCAAGTGCCAGAAGAAGGAGATGACTACTATCCCAAGGTTAGGGATTGTGAAGTCATTGGATTTGGGTTTCCATCTCTTGCTTTGAGAGTGCCCTATAAATGGCAACTCAGGACTACCATTTATTTGCTATTTTCATACTCTCTTTGCCTTTTTGTGTCATGTTTTACCCCAATAGGCATAGTTCTGCCTTTGTTAATGAGTGTTATTGAAAGTTTTGCTCTCCAGTCTTCATTGTTTGTGTAAGTAGTTTCCAGTTACTTAAGTTTTTAATCTGCAAGTCAACAGTCCATATATCTTGGC